AACAACAATACAAGCAACGCAACCAGGTTTGTACCCTTCACATCTGACACAGCAGCCAAACATCATGGTTAATTTTTCGTATGACAATTTTGAAGAAAAACTCAATAGCAAAAAGTCGACAGCAGGGGGGGTAGACAAAATCACCTTTAGCACTCTCAGACATCTACCTAGGGAATCCAAAGAAAAACTGCTAAAGGCCTTGGAATCAAGTTACCATAACAACGAAGTCATTGAGTCGTGGAGGCGAATCATAATTGTTCCTATTCCCAAAGCAAATAAAGAATTGGATGACTTAAACAACTTTAGGCCAATATCATTGATCTCAGTTGTTGCGAAGAGCCTCAATATGCTCATCAAAGATGCCCTGGTAGAAGAAGTAGAGTTGCGAAATATAATCCCACAAAAAAGCTTTGCGTACAGAAAACAAAGATCGTCATCAATGTGCTTAAACGAAACCCTGCATTTTGTAGCTGACAAAAAGAGTAACAACGAAAAAGTTTTTATTTGCTTCCTAGATATAACTGACGCATACAACGGGGTCGACCTCGAAATCTTACACCGCACGCTGTTGGAATATAACATAAACCCAAAAATTGCTAATTGGACGAAAAACTTCTTCTCCTCGAGAATACTGACTCTAGGGCCACATGCGGTGGAAGTCAATAATGGACTCCCTCAAGGTAGCTGTTTGTCACCAATACTTTTCAATATTTACACGGCCAAGCTTCACTGTATAAACGATAGCAAAACGCAAGTTTTTCAATTTGCAGATGACATAGCAATAATTTCGCACTGCAAGTCGGAAAAAGCTGCAATCCTCAATTTGAAAACCCAAATTATGAACATCCATGGGATCTGCAACTCTATAAACCTGAATTTCAACTTGGAAAAAACGAAATTCATGTACCTTTCTGCAGGGAACAAAAGAAACTTTGAACTAACAATCAGTGGTAACCAAATTGAGCAGGTAGTCACAACAAAATGGCTGGGCAGAATTATTAACTCGAACTCGACAATCAAAGGGCAAGTTGGAAAGGTCGAAGACGAAATAACAACAGGTAAAAATTTACTTGCAAAACTGACTACAATAAAAGCAGGGTTAACACCCAGAATAGGGCTCAACCTATTCAAAGTATTCGTAAGATCCAAGATGGAATACAGCAACACCAGCTATGCCAATGCTCCGAACTGCTACTACAAAAAACTACAAACAATAGCAAATGAATCCCTGCGTAGATGCTTAGGAGTTCCCCCTAACACACCAACCCTAGCTCGATATGCCATAGCATGCGAGCTGCCACCGCTAGCAAGAGCAGTTTGGTTAACTTCAAAAGAGCTGACCAAGCAATGGTTTCTCAATCCAGATTTAAGAACACAACCAAAAAATAGTAGACCGGTCAAATCAAGCTACAGCCACACCTTTGAGAAATTTAAGGACATTTTCAATCAAATTAACACAAACACTACTTTCATCAGACACCCTAATCTCAAATTAATAGACTCAAATCTTAACAAGTCCAAAAACAATGTGGCGCATGAACAACTACAAGCTATCTTTAGAGAACAACAAGCATACTATCTTGATCAGGGTTTTCACATATTAGCGACTGATGCCTCCGTGAGTGAAAATATAGTTGGTTGTGCTGTATACGACACAGCAAATAACGTCTCCTACTTATACAACATACCCTTTTACCGGTCGACGACGTTTGGGGAATTAGTAGGACTGTTACAGGCGGTCAAACTTGCTAAAAAATATAAGTGGAATAAACCATGCATTTTTACAGACAGCTTGGCTGCTGTAAAACTGTTAAAATGACCGTTAACCCAGAACCATATAGTGGCCGAAATCCACAATCAAATTGCCAATTCACAAGTAGAAACTGCAGTCATCATGTGGGTACCCAGCCACGTTGGCGTAGCATGTAATGAAAAAGCTGACATTGCAGCTAAAACTGCAGTGAATCACGGCCAGACGCTTTCGATTGACTTAACGCCACAAGAGGCACTTATACAAATCAATACTCTACTATGGACAGAGACTAAGGACAAGATAAAGGAAAAATGTGTAGACTGGGACCATAATATCATCAATAGTTTTGCGATAAAGGAAAGACGACCTTGGTTTAAGGACAAGAGATTTGACTTAGAGCCTTATGACATGAAGCTCCTCAACAGACTAATTACCGGACACACATACAACAGCATCTATTTACAACAATTTGTACCAAACGTTAGTGAATACTGCAACACTTGCAATACGCTGGAAACTCCTGATCATCAAATCTTCCACTGTGATAGGTACAACGCTATGAGAACGAAGTTTAAACTCTTTGACACGTACAAGACCATAAATGAAATTATCACCACTAAAAAACCTGAGCTTTTTAAAGAGCTAATAAACTTTTTGCGAGAAACCAAACTAGATGGAGCACTCTAGGCCATACAACAGTTTAATCAAAAAAAAAAAAAAAAAAAAAAAAAAAAAAAAAAAAAAAAAAAAAAAAAAATAAAAAAAAATTTTAAAAAAAAAAAAAAAAAAAGCAAAAAAAAAAAAAACATAGAGACCGGAAAAAAAGGGGGGAAAAAAAAAAGAATCGCCAAACAACTTAATCGCTCAATTTAAAGACAAGAAAACTAAAAACTTTGTTAACCTTATATAAGACTGATCAAGGCGTAAAGGACGTAAATAATCCTTCGCTTTTATGTTCATTCCAAAGACAGATGCCTAATTTCTATTACTTTTCGGAGTATAGATTTATAAATAAAAAAAAAAATAAATAAATTTGATGTATAACTTTCTAAAGTACCGGAACAATAAACACCTTTTATATGTCAATAACGTTAAAAAAGGGAAAAAAAAAAAATAATAATAATAATTGTAAACTCATCGGACCGATCAATATGTTATATTAATATATAATCGGTTCTTTTTTAAAAAGACAAGCCACGGGCTCCGACTTACGTGTAAACTATGCTACATGTCGATGTACAAATGTAAATAAATAAAAGGAAAAAAAAATTGTATGTTCAATGCATATCTGTTTGCATTAGAGAAACTGTATGTTCAATGTAATCGTTTTGTCTTTGTATCTGTTTTGTGTATCTTCTTTTTGTCAAAGCACACCAACACCTCCACCCATATTCGGCACAGTAAGGAGCATCAAAGGAAGAACCTCTGAGATAGCGGGAGACTTCAAGAATCAACGGATTACCTCAATACTCTTGTATAACCTGGCATATACATTACAGTATTACTGCCAACAATCTTGGACTACAGGGTCCATAAAGCCACGAAAAAAAAAAACCAAAGAGGTTTCAGAAAGTAGTTTGAAAATATTTTGAAGAGGACTGCCACCTGCTAGAAATGTCGAATTTAGTTTACACAAGTTATACGAAATATCAAAATATATATATAAAACGAAGGAGTGTTAAGAAATCTTTAGTTAGAACTCTAAGAATATTTCTGAGGTGTTGGAAGAGGTTCGCCACCTGTTTAAAAAGTTAAATTCAAAATATTTTAAAAGTTAAATAATTTATTGAAATATGTGTATCAATCGAAGAGAGTTTGAAAATTTTTTATTTCTGAACTGTATTTAGCGGGCTTGCCACATGGTTGAAAATTAAAAGTCCACTTAATTCATCAGTTAATTAAAATCATGCCTATTACGATATCCAACGGATGCCATCCGCACGGATCTAATATGATTCTCACTGTCATAACAAGCGAGAGTGAAGTATTACATTCGTGCGAATGGCATCCGTCGGATACCGTAATAGGCATTAATATGTATCGCAGTGTCCGGCGAAGGGGAGCTAACAATGATTTAGCTTGAGTACCTGTTTGAAAGTTCCAACTCAATTAACTAATTCAAAAAGTATATGAAATATAAAGATACCGTGGTCAAACGAAAGACTGTTATGAAATCTTAAGTTTGAAAATTTCAAGAGAGTTGCCACGTGTTTAAAAAGTGAAATTCAAATTATTCAGTACATAGGATGAATTATTAAAAGATGGGTATAAATCGAAATGAGTTTGAAAGTGATTTATCCCTGACCTTTATTTAGGAGGGATGCCATTTGTTCGAACAATCAAATTCGAATTAGTTCATCAGTTTAAGATTTAAGAAGATTCTAGTTTGAGAATAATTTTGAAAAGGAATTTCAAAAAAGGTCAAATTAGAAATCTTAGCCCGTAGATGTATGATAAAGTTTTAGTTTTTTAATTAAGAACTTTTTTCATCGGTAGAGCGTGATTTGAAATTCGATGAAAAATACATGCATTATGGGAGACTGCTGTTCACTCAGAAACGGCTGGACGGTTTTGATGAAATATGGCACTTGGATCTCTTATAACTCTGGCTAACATTTGGAATATATTTTAGGTTTTTGAAATTCAAATTAGGGCGTTTTTATGCCGAGCTTCTCCTACGATTGGTGTCGTGCGCGTTGATGTCACACAATTGTATTTTTATGAGAAGCTGTTTTTCATGGCAGAACTCATATTCGTATTGAAATAAACGTCCCGAGAGACGAAAAAATAAAAATCCCTTGTAATTATTATGAGTAGACGTAAATAATTTTCGGCTTGAAATAAACGTCCCGCGAGACGAAAAAAAAAAAATAAAAGTCCCATATAATTATTATGATTATTGTTCAGTAATAATTGTAGAGCAATATTTAATTTTATTTCTTATAATCGTTATGGTCTCTGATTAATCTGCATCTTAGTGGTTGCTATCTAATGTCTAAAAGAAATTTAAATTGCTGTATATTTATTTTCTAAGGTTTCCACCGGCAATTCCCGCTGTTATTATTTTCATTGAAGAATTACTTACGCACGTACACTGCCTTTCAATTATAATCTAATCCACTGCACATACCTACATACATAAATATGTTTGTATGTACCTATGTATATAGTTTTTTTTATTATACGATTTATTCGTCTAGTCTTTAATTGATTGTGTTTTATATGATTTCTGTTTTATTATTTCCAGACTATGATCCCAAAGTGGTCGAACAGAAAGAGCAGGCGCAGCCTGCATGTTTACCGTTGAGCTATGTATTGCGTTTCATATCGGAAGATGCACGTAAAGAGAGCCCATTTTTATCCGCCAACAGTACGGGCGTTGAACTTAAGCGGAAGTTGGCGATCAAACATCACAGTTACAGTATGTCGTCGTCAAATCGCAGCAATACGCCCACTGGTGAGAAAGCGAATCAGTATGAATATGAAACTGTAATCGCACTGATCCGCTAGACAATTATTTATCAATCAAGTATTTTACTAATCAACTACGTTTTGTTTTCACAATTCGTGGTTTTTCACTTATCTGATAAAATTTCTAGGCAGTGAAATGGACGATGATGAAATGGTTGTCTCAGAGTCGGAGGACAGCAATGATTCTTGGACAACTGAGGAGTTCAGTTCCGAGTTCATAATGCGTTACGGGAGCAGGTGATTGCTCAAGAAATTTTTTTTAAGACAAATTTAAATATATATATTTGTGAAGGCATTCCGGAACCGGCAGCAATGGGACACCGGGCAATGAGAAGCCGTTTGCGTGTCCTGTGCCTGGTTGTAAAAAGCGTTACAAGAATGTCAATGGCATCAAATATCACTCGAAGAACGGCCACAAAAAGGACGGAAAGTAAGTGTGTACAAGAAACAGAAACCTTCATTATTAATAACTTACTTATGTGCATATTACGGTGCGAAATTTGGTGGGAAATACCTAAAAAGATTTAAAAATTAATGAAAAACAATTTTTAAAAGAAAAACACGAGAATTTCATGAAACAATTGGGTTTGGTGACTACCTCGTGACTTGATGGGAGTCTAAGGGGTTAAATTGCCGGAACGAGGCTTGTTGAAAAGTTTCATCGACCGGAAATTGGCGTAAGCGGACGCAACGTAGTGGCGATAGAACGAGAATTTTGATAAAAAATTTGAGTAATTTCCAAACGTTGTTGAAGCGTATATCTCTCTACGATTAAATGGCTTAGACAGACGTTTCGAAATGTAAAAATATTGTTAAATCTTAGAATAGTGAAAAACCCTTTATTTAGTGATGTAAAAATAAGTAAAATTTGCTAAAAGAATTCGAAGTATGTAATACTATCATACTCAGTTTTTAAAAACACACTATTGTTTTAAGTATTTTCAAAGAACATAGTCTCAACTACTTAAGTACTTAAGGAGTTAGTATTGGCTAAATTAAAATTTTCCCATTTTGGGCGACGTAGTTTCAGCTTCGTAGTCAACTTGCCACTCCAATGCTTTGAGAATTGGTATAATGGTACAGTTCGTCGCTGTTAAACCCAGAAATTATAAAATGAGTGTAAACAACCTCTTACAATTAAAATGTAAATTCGCCCAGCAACTTCAAAGTTGTAATTGCCATATCCTTAACCGCTGGCAACAGAACTGAGATTTAGTTGTCATTAATAATCGACCCTTTAAATTGAACTTCTTCATCAAGATTTCTAATTAATTTTTATTTTTGTAGAGTTCGCAAAGGCTACAAATGTCACTGCGGCAAGAGCTACAAAACTGCTCAAGGCCTGAAGAACCACGCTTTGGTGGCACACAACTCCTCGCCTGAGAGCGTTTTGAGCACACAACATACGGCTAATATGACTGCTAACAACAATGGGACCAACGTTAATGTGGGCTCAGGCATTATTTTGCAACGCAGCAGTTCGCCCTCGCAGTCATTGGGTTCCCTAAGTCCATCCAGCATCAGCAACATGTCAAGCAGTGCCAGTAGCTGTCATGGCAGTGCTACCAGCAACACTCATAACGGCAACAGTAACTCTGCTGGCAACAATAATGTTGGTAACAACAACACAACCGGCGCCGTCACCAACAATGTGTTGCAGCAATTGGCTAATAGTACACTTGGCAACGGAAGTCCCAATGTGGTTGCCACCACAAATGGGGTTGGACTCAGCTTGCATCATCACCAACACCATGCACAGCAGCAGCAGCAACATCAGTTTAGCAATCAGCAGCAGCAGCAGCAACCGCAACTACACAGCATTGGATCGTCCGCAGCAGCTACATCAGGTAACAATAACAATTTAGGGCGCAGCAGCAGCAGCAGCGGCAACACTACTGGCATCAGTGGCAATGGCCTGCTCACAGCACAAGCAGCAACTAAAACTGCGACTGCAGCTACAAACTTGTTGGCCGCTAATGCAACGGCGAGTAAAATACTCAAGTTGGCTACCAATGCCGCGGCACAGGCAGCAGCAGCTGCAGCCGCAGCCAATGCTGTTGGTACAGTTGATATCATTGCACAGCAGCAGCAACAACAACATAAGCTGCAAGCAATCGTTGATAAAGTACAGTCAAAACAGCAACAAAGTACAGCGACTAAAATTGCGCTGCCAAATTTGGTAAACTTAGGCATTCTCACCCCGGCCACTTCGCCTACGAAACCACCTACGCAGGCAATGGCATTTACGCAACAACAACAACAACAACATCCAACCCAACAACAAGCACAGCCACCACATAATCTTCCTTTGACACCCATTAGTCCAAGTGGGCCAACATTAATCCAACAACAACAGCAAAAGGGCATTGGGCTATTGCATCACCAACAACAGCAACAACAACACAAAAAACCGAATCAGATTATTGGTAGCATACACTTGACTAATGTATCTACATCGACGTCAACGTCCTCAACTGTATCGAATGCCAACATGAATAACAACAATAGCATCAGCAACACTGCCAATGGTATCAGTGGTAATATTGTCGCTACTACGGTTGCAGCAACGGTGGGCAGCGGCGTTGTTGCTGGCGCTGGCGCTGCAGGCATGGCGAACGCTGTTGTTGCTGCTGCTTCTGCTGACGCAGTGGTAGGCGTTGTCAACGACGAAACGTAGCCTATACTAAAGACATTACTAATGCGTCGCGAATTTAAATAGAAGAAAAATATTTAGTTATTATATATTTAGATAACCAAAAAAAAAAACTAAATTTGCGCAAAGTTAAAGAACATCTGACCATTTATAATAAATCGGCTGAGAGATAGTATGCCCGCGACATACCTAAGCGTATGGCTGTTGCTTGTTATTATAGGAAATAAATAATTTCAAACTTACACCCTTTAAAGTAAATAGAAAAAAAAAAAAATCGTCAGTTCCTTAAAGAATTACCGAAATACTTTTTGAAGCATTATGAGCATTTGGAAGTACCCAGAGAATTAAAAATAAGTACATATATTCATTCGACGCTATTGCTGAATTCATTGTAGATTTGTTTTTCGAAAAGTAGGCGAATATGTTATCACTGAATATGCATAGCTATATGTAGCTTTACTATGAAAGTATTTGCGTAGGATTTTATATAACTATTATCAGTCCCCTTCCGTTAAATCCTAGGATGATCTCTTTTTTTGAGATATTCCAAAATTACGTTTAGCGAAGTTATGGCTGACGGTGACCAAGGCTTTTTTACTACTCAACTCAAAACTTGCTTTGGATATATACAGGTTGCTATTACGGTACTCACGTCGGCAACGAAGTAACTCAATAAAAGTGTTCGCTATGCAAAAAACTTGTACAAGTTGGTACCAATTGTTACCAAATCCTGTTCGTTTGGCCATAAAACTAGTAAAACTTGCAAGGAGAGAGCACAATTTTTATAATTCATTTGGAGGCGAAGTTGCAAATTCGTGCTGGAAAAATGTTTGCCGGCAAGACATACATAACATAATTGAAAGAGCAAACAACGTAATTGCCGGTGCTCGTGTGATTCATTTATGTCGAAAATTCAGTTACTTCGTAGCTATTCAGTTATAACATTTTCGTGGAGTTCAATCGGGGCCTACAATGGAGTCAGCATAGACCCGACTGATTTGTGTATATTGTGAATGAAAAAATTGTACCCTACTTCAGTAGCGTAGATTTTTGGGAAATATTTTTTAATTTATATTCCAAATATTGCGACTATTTCCTGAAAGATGATAGCCCTCATGAAATCGAAATTCAAAAAGTAAGCATTTAACGACCTATGTAGATCATACATACTATATAAATACATATGTACATACATACATAATTGAATACACTCCAATAACATGGTAAATATAAGTGTATTTAATTATGCGTAACTCTTCAAATCTGCACTCGAACAAAAATACCTAATACGAAAAATTAATGCTTTGAAATTAATTGAAAATTATACGTTTACTCCTTCTATATACACTTGTATGTATGTATATTTACGAATATCTAGTGTTAGTGAAAACCTTCAAGTTTCCTTGTAAATGTAGACTGCTGCGGTTTATTTTAGAATTTAAAAATTTTTGTACATTTTAGTTGATTCGTGCAATACTACTTTTTATAAGTAATTTATTTAGCTAATTATTATTGTTTTATACTCATCTTTTGTGTATATTTTTTATACTGAATTTCCTAAACACTGTATTGTATTGCTTCGATAATTGCTGATCTCCTATTGAAATCTAAAATTTAGTTATATACAACAAACGCTATACTGTAGACATCAAAAATAAAGTTTATGCTTGATTTGTCATTTGAAAGTAAAAACATTGAATTTTAGTTAACTTCGCTAAACAATTGCATACATACAGTATCGGTCATATCTATAACACGCCATTTCAAAGTGATATTGTGTGCCACTTATGTTTATTTATATATTTTTAAGAATTTTCAATTAAAATTTAGTTCATTCTCAGACATATCCCATATATACCCAAGTTTAACAATTTGTAGAAAACTTCAAAAAAGTGCAACAAAATTTCACCTAAATTTCAAACTTTTTTCTCGGAAGTGTTAGAATTTTTTTTAGTACACAGTTTTTTAGCCCCTGCAATTTTAGTCTGATAATGTGCAAATTTCAAGTAGCTACCAGTTACCGTTAATTTTTTAGATTAATATAATATTAATATAATATTTAATGAATAAACTCAATTTATTTGTATATGGAAGAAAACCGCAACACCTTTGGCGAAAAAAATTCTAAAAAATCAACGGTAACCTTTAGCCACCTCAAACTTGCACATTATCAGACTAAAATTGATTGGGCTATAAAACTGTGTATTCAGAAAAATTCAAACACTTCCGATAAAAAAGTTTGAAAATTATATGAAATTTTGTTGCACTTTTTTGTAGTTTTCTACAAATTGTTAATCTTGGGTTTATATGGGATTTGTTAGAGAAAGAACTATATTTTAATTGAAAATTGAATTTCTTAAAAATAAATAAATAAACATAAGTGCTACACAATATCACTTTGAAATGGCGTGCTATAGATATGACCGATACTGTACATACATACATATACACATTTAGTAGTAAAAACTTCGACCACGCAGAAGTAGATATTCCAGAAATTGATAGTAATAAAGATTGAAAGTATGTACATACATGAATTTGTGCTGATTTGTCCGCATGATTAACATTAACTAAAAATTGAAGAGGTTTAATTAAACCATATTTTGGCAGAGAAAAGTGCGAGTGCATTTTTAGGAGTCAATGATGGGACTCCAATTCGAAAGATATACAATAACGTGTACAGATAGATACTAGATGATGTTTAAACTTGAAGTTGGAGTTTTGAAAATGAGTTTTATATCAACGTCAGAAGAGGCTCTAAACATTTTATGAATCTGCACGTACATATCCATTTAAGAAAGTATTTTATTTACTATACACTCGTATTTAGTTTTTACCTCACTAGTTTGTATATTTTGTCTTTTTTAAGAGCTTTGTCGATGTGTGCACATGTTTTCAAGTAATAACTCTTTCATACTATTGGCAAAGCCTTTCCTGGCTAGATTTAATTCCGAGACGGTTAGATAACACCCATAAAATTTTATGTTTTAAAACAACTTGAGGTTCAGTTTAAAACTAATACGCTTCTAATATTATTTGCCAACTTTGATCTGAGGTGCGTTTTGCTTTCTTAACTTGATGAAAAGCTAGTTCTAAACACATTTTCCTATTTTTTCTCCAAAATAATTTGAAACGCTATCAATTAGTTTTTTTTCGAATTTCTGAATGACAACAAAAGTTTTCGAACTAACTAAAACTATTAATACAAGCCATGAACTGTATATAAAATTTAAATAATAACCAGGCAGGTTCTGAAATTCCCTTCCGAGTAAAAAAAATGTTCGGATATCATTCACTTCACTTGAAGTTTGTGAAATTGATGCAAGCGAACATATAAGAAAATGAAACTGCTTAAATTTTGCAAAAAATAAATTTAAAAGTAGTTTATTTTGACAATAAAAATAACTATTAATACTGTTATAAGCGTATCCAATAAAATATGTTTCGGTTAACTCTATCTCAACTTTATTCTTGAACTGCATTAAAGTGTCTGTCTACCTTCTAGAGATTGCAATCAGTTATCGCCCATATAATATTAGGCTACAGTTCACAACATTTCATATAACTTAAGCTATGTTCACAACATGTTCACAACATGTTCTATAACGCAAGCTATGTTCAGAACATCTCCCTTTTCCTAGTTTTTTATTTTATTTTTTCATATGTTATCTTCTCCAGTAATATACAATCACATAACGTTTATCAAACATACATATGGCCTTATTCATAAAAAATAAAGTAGCTTTATAAAAGGCTTATAAATTCAAAAATGTATGAAAACGTCAATTTATAAAGCTCTTTAAACCTACTTTATTTTTTTTGAATAACGCCATTAGTCTTTAAAATAATTTGGTTTTTTTTAAGTACGACCCGATCTAGTTGTTATAACAGGGTTGCTATGCATATTTACATCTGTCTCAGAATTATTTACAGCATTCATAGAGTTGTTATTGTCATTACACCCATTAGATTGATTCAAATTACAATTTGTATTATGATGAGTGTTCAAATCTCTTTGTGCGGGCTCTTCAATTGGTATATCTAAATCACCTTGCATTTCATTAAAATTTGTACCTTTAGATAGACTTTTCCGATTACGAGTTATAATAGTATTCTGCCTTGCTTGTGCTTTGTAAGATCTTGGATGTTGGTGTTTACCGATAATTATGCCACTTTGATGCGGCCAGCCCTTTTTTCCCTTCACCATGAATCTTAACTTTGTCACCCACGTTAAATTCTTTAAGAGTTTTTGAACCTTTATCATAATTCGGCAGGTTCTGCAATTCAGTGAATTTGAGTCAAGTTCGCTTTGAATTCAAGTTCGCAGGGGTTGAAATTCATTCGGAAGTGAATTCCAGAACCTGCCCGATTATAACTTTTGCCTCTTTTGACGTTCATATTAATTGTTACTAAAATTATCTGACTCTACTTTGCCTTCACTGATATCCGGTATTACATTTCTTATTTTTCTACCATACATTAATTCAGCTGGCGTAATGCCACTATTATCAATAGGCATATTTCTTAATTGCAACAATGCCATTTCTTTATCCTTCCCCTCCTGAATAATCTTTTTCAAAATGTTTTTGAGAGTTTGAATGTGTCTCTCCGCTTACCCATTCGATTGATGATGTTTCGGGGAAGTTATATCATGTTTGAAGCCCCACTGTTATGCAAAATTTCCTAAAATAAACGCTGGTATACTGAGATCCTGAATCTGAATACAGAACTTTAGGTACTCCCTATCGTGCGAAAAATTATTTTAAAGCTTGAATCGTAGTCTCTGCTGTTAAATCATCTAAATGTTTCATATCAATAAATTTACTATAGGTATCCACGATTATTATATATTTTTTACCTAATAAGTAAAATTTATCAGATCCTACTATTTCTCAAGGATAACTTGGTACCGTTTTTTCAATCATAGGTTCTTTACTATTATGTTTTTGATAGCTACAACAAATATCGCACTTGCTTACGAGATCATCAATCTGTTTTGACATACCTATCAAAAATATTGTTTTCGTAGCTAACATTTTACATTTTTCTTTGCCAAAGTGTGCGTAATGTATTTTTGAAAGCATTGCTTTTCTCATTGACCTTGGCACAACAATACAGGTACCTTTTAATAATATTCCATTACATTCTGATAGGTCTTCTTTGAACGAAAAATATGGTTTTACAGTTTCAGATACAAGTACAGGTACCTCTTGTTATCAGGCCATCCCTTTCTTACATTTTTTAAAACTTCTTGTAGCTCTTGGTCTTTACCTGTTTCCATTTTGAATTCCTTTAATCTCACATCAGATACACTTAAATGTTTCTCAATCATCATTACGTAAGCTTCAATTTTTTTCTTCCTCAGAGGATTCTGTATTTTTTAAATAACTTCAACTTAAATGATCAGCAAGAATTAATTTTTTACCCGGTACATATACGAGATCAAAAACAAAATTATGCAAGCTAATTCGCATTCTTTGCTATCTGGGAGGAATCTTATTCATTGGTTTTTTAAAAATGGAGATCAGTGGCTTATGATCAGATTCTACACGAAATTTTTTACCAAATAGATATTGATTAAACTTTTTCTATTTGGCTGTACATTTTTTCTGTCTCCATCAACGCATGCGAACCATACGCCACTGGTCTTTCCCCCTGTATCAGTACACATCCCAGTCCCTCACTTGAAGCATCTACACTCAGTGTTATTGGTTTATTAATATCAAAATATGTTAATACTGGTGGTGTA